TATATATATATATATTCGGCGAGCGTTTGCTCGGTATTCGCCGAATGCCGCATGTGTGGAGTCGCCTTTTACATGGGTCAAGGGACACACTGGAGGTGAGTTTCCGCACCGGCGGCAGCGAAGACTGGAATGCATGGTACATCGATTGCAGATACACCTCGCACAAGGACATTCACTCTTTCAAGGCAATCGATGAAACATGGCGTGGAAAATAAAACCTGGCCAACAACGCGCGCACGAAAACGAGATGAAAGGGTTCTGTTTCAACGAGGACAGAAGTGTATGTAGGCGTAAAGGTGACCAGCCTTCAAGACACATGGGCCTGACTTGTGCACGAACCTGATGTCGGTGACCAAAATAACGGACAAGAGGAACAGTGTCCTTTTGCAGAAGACAAAAGCCGAGGTTCTAGTAATCTGGTCTTCTAAACCAGAGGAGTCAATTCTCTCATCGTCAGCGTATGCTGGGACATTACAAGGAAAACGCACACTATATTCTTGTCTGACCGGGAGTCGAACCTGAGGTCGCGTCATGGAGAGCATGTACTATCAATGAACTAAGTTGCAAGGCTTTTTTTCTAAAATTACTCAAATGTAATTTTTTTAAAAGATCTCTCACACCTTTCATATGCACATTTTCAGATTTGTAAACACTATTGCATTTGAGACTGGAAATGCTTCAAATGACTTTAAATGATGTTTTACAAAAACTCTTTATGTTTTGAATTTACGGTAGCAATTCCGCATTTTCAAAAACGCTCAAAAACAATTTTCTAAAAAAAACAGCTCCAAAATTTGCAATGAAAATCGCCATTTGTGATTAGGTTTTACTCTTCTTTATATTCTTAAAATAATATTTGCTTTCTATAATTAGGAAACAGAAACATTGAAAAAATAAAAAACAATGTACTTTGGGTGGCGATAGATAGCAGCTGGCAAGAGTATTTGGCAAGTGAAAATAGCTAGCCCAAACCAAAGAAAATAGAAAACTAATACGAGAAAGTCGTCTTTCTATGGCACCACTAGTTTCTCCTATACAACAACTATTTTAAATTCCGCCACTTCCTTTTCAAAGTTCTTCTGTTTTTCTGCAATTATATAAACACCTCTTTCAATTCTTTTTGTTTATCAACAGTTTCTTCAATTTGAGTTGATTTCCAATTCATTTTATCCGTTGCTTCTTTTTCCACTTCTTTTATCTGGTCTTCTAATTTGTTTTCGTATTTGCATTGTTTCGGTCAGACATTCTTCAATTATCTTGAAGTTTTTCTGTCTTTCTTCATTCTGCCGTCTTCGATAAAATTTTGCTTTATTCCTTTTTAAATTGCTCAAATTTTTATCTAATTGTTAAAAACGTTGTTGTGACTTTTCATTAATTTCTTCTTTTAGTTGCTGAAAACTTTGTTGGTAGTTTTCATTAATTTCTTCTTTTTGTTGTTCAAAGTTTTTATTCATCTGCGCCCTTAATTGTTGTATCAACCTTTTCAAGACCTCGTTAGCACGATCAAGATCTTATTAAATCTTTCTTCTGACGGTTGTTGAGGTGATTCGGCCGACTCTTGTTTCCAACGCGCAGTCATCGGCGAAGCAGTCCTTTGTGGTGAGCTGATTTCTTCTCTCGTTATGTCCGTCTCCCGTTCGTACTTGTTTAACTCTTCCTCCCCACTGCTTACGTTCTCCAACTCTCTTCTTGCCATGTATTTATCTACCATTTTTTAATAGAATTTTATATTATTCATCTGCAAACAGTATCCCAAAACCAAATCTTTTCTTTCGCTCTTTACACTCTTACGTTTGATAAAATATCACACTTGTTTTACTAACATGAATAAAGTGATTTTTGCCACTCGTTGGTGTGTTGGCTTGTCATTCTGGTCTTTCAATTACATTAAGGGCACAATTCTACAACTATCAAAGTTTTTAGGGGTATAAATGGTTTGGCGTCGCCAATTGCAGCAATCTGACCTTTCTTTGCAATGCAATTTTCGCAGTCTCACGTTTGGCTGCCAAATGTCGTTCTGCGCACTCGCAACCACCACGACATCGTCCACCACGGCTGCGCGGGAGGTCACACATCTTTATCAGCAGCACAAGGTTCAGGTAGTAGAAGAATTAATTTTAATAAATGACTCCCTACACGGGTCTCGAGGATTGGTTCTGCACAGACTTTCAGGCGAACACACACACAAAAGCCTAAATATAATTACGTTATTTTATAGAAACCATGTAAAAATTCACTTTTCGACTAATATTACAACATATTTCTTTTGGCATCTTGATGTGAATTTATACAATTACAAAATTGAAAACCTGAAAAATTAAATATATTTTTTTGTTAAGTAAATGAAACCTTCAACTCTAAATTTTTCAATGAATAGTTATCTTCTTGTTTCTTTAGGTGATTTTATACAATTGTAAACTACAAGAAGAATCTGAAACCGAAAAAAAATTAAACACAACTTCAGTTTCTCAACTTTAACACAACCCTCCGACATCACATTTCCACATCACAGTTATTCAAAGTAAATGCAATTTCCATAGCGTTACTAACAAGTACAAATTGCTTTCTCCCCTCACAAATCTCTTACCAGGTATGGCGATTATTTTCGTAACGTTCCCTGACTTATCTTTCCATGGCCAATGCTAAAGTTGAAAACACAATCTCACTTCCTTCTGTTTCTCACTACGTTTATTAATACCTTCCTTCTCCACTATTATAAAATTTTGTAATACACTACAAATTTCACTATATTTTCTCCCCTTCGCTACTACATCACACAGTTATACTTCTTTTATTCGACCATCTTCCCTTTCCACATATTTGTTAACAAAAACCACCCCTTTACATTGGTTGACTCCTGCACTACGTTTAATGGACGGAAGAAAGGATTCATGTCACTACCTAGTTACATTACAATACTCTACTTTTATCGTGATCTCACATGTCACCATACATGACCTGTGTTTTGAAGATTCGCGGAGCACTGCCCGCGGTAACGGCAGGTGAAGCAAGAAGACCGCTGCTCGGCGACATCACCATTAGCACCGGATGACATTCAGGTCTCAACCCACGCTGTCGCTTTCTCTTCTACTTCCCCGCGGCACTTTGAAGCTGTTACGCCTCCGGAATTACTACGCGCAGATGTTGAACTGATAAAACTAATCTCATCAACTTTCGTTCTCAACTCCAGTTTTCAACTGCCTTCACAAAATCTTTCTTCTACGTCGACGGCGCAATCCCCCCCTCCACCGTCTGACATCGCTGATAAGCCGCTGGCTCATTCGCTGACGTCTTACTTTCTTCGTCGCACTTGCGAGAGAGACAGATTTTTGACGAAGATACTAAATTTACGTGACGTCAGTCTACATCGGCGTCACGCATGAAAGAACTTTTGTACGAACCTTCGCCAGCTGGTCACGTATTTGCTAAAACCCCACAGACACCCTCGCTGCTACGGTGAAGCCAAGACAGGTTCCCGCATCACAGGCGCACCACTGATAAGGGTGCGAAACAACTCGACCTTTTTATCTGCTAGCCGAGGCTCGACCGCAGGACTTGCGGTTCATGGCAAGCGCGGAGGGGTCAGTCGTGATGTCATGACACCCCTCCAGGAGCGGCCGGGCAACTGACCACTCAGCCCTTCTTACAAAACACGTCGAAGTGTTCAAATGTGTGCGGAGAGCGAGGCTGGCGAAGAGAGAGAGAGAGAGAGAGAGAGAGGGAGAGAGAGGGAGAGAGAGGGAGAGAGAGGGAGAGAGGGGGGGAGAGAGA